TACATCTGGAAGGAAGGGACACAAGGGAGAAGGATATTAATGGAGCGCGAAATGTAGTAGCGCGAGGGGAACGAGGAACAGGAAACACGCGGCAGAACCAGACGGGCAGATCGAGCGGTAGACCCTAACGGACCGGCTGGGAAGGCGGGCCTAGGCGGCCAGGTCGAGCAGGCGGGTTGTTGAAGCGTGCGTCCTGCACGAATCGCGAGGGAGTCTCGAGCGATAGCACGATTCCCAAGTACATCGTGGGAAAAGCCAGAGCGAGAGCCTGAGTCCTGAATGTCAAGGGCACGGCGTGTCAATAAGTCGCAACGAGGAACCACGCGAGAGCGCGACTGCTGCATACATTCAAAACAAGTCCCGCGCGAGAGCGCGATTCTGGAATAACGTGTGAGGAAGCATCAGGCGAGGGCCGTTCTTGTTGGTGCTGTAGTCCGTGGGCCAACAGAGTTGGCAACGGAGGGATCAACAGTACTTGCTTAGACATGGGAAGTCAACCGCACAAACAAAACGCCGCCCGAGAGGCATCTGCGTCCGAAGGACCCCCTGCCTCCCGACGGGGCCGCCCAACCTCGCCCTTCCGCCGCGGCGACGAAACGTCAAGGGCCACACCAGACGCACACCTCCGAACCGGCAACAACGGCGACGACAACGACGGCGACGACGGCGATGACGGCGACGACTACGAAAGCGACGGCGACGGCGACAGCGATGGCGACGGCGACGGCGACGGCGGCGGCGGCGGGCGGCGGTGGCGGGCCCGACCGCGTCGCGACACTTGGCTCTGGGTAGGGGGGGGAGAGGAGAAGGAGGAGGATCTGGGAAGAAGATGAGAAGAAGGAGGAGGAGGAGGAGAGGAAAGGAGGAGGAATACGAAGGCTACCGAGGAAGGCGGCGGAGGGAGCGGGGAGGAGGATGAGGAGCAGGAGCAGGATGACCAGAAAGGGGGGGGAGCAGGAGGAGAAGGAGAAGGAGGAGGAGGAGGAGGAGCAGGAGGAGGAGGAGGAAGAGGAGGCCTATCGAGGGAGGCGGCGGAGGAGGAGGAGGAGCAGGAGGAGGAGGGCAGGGCGAGGGCCGCGCCGTCGGCGGGTTTCGCCTCGCGGGGGGTTGGCGGCGGGCGCTGTGAGGCTTTCGAGAGCGTGCCCCTCCTCCCGAGGGGATGTGCGGAGTGCGGGTCGCCGCTCTCCTGCCACGCCGAATCCTCCTCCCCCCTCTCCTCCTCCTGCTCCTCCTCCTCCTCCTCCTCCTCCTCCTCCTCCTCCTCCTCTCCTCTCCTTCTTCGCTAGTCCTCCTCCTCCTCCCCATCCCTCCTCCTCCTCCTCCTCCTCCCCCTCCTCCTCCTTCCTCCTCCTCCTTCTTCGCTAGTCCTCCTCCTCCTCCTCCTCCTCCTCCTCCCCCTCCTCCTCCTTCCTCCTCCTCCTCCTCCTCCCGAAAGGATGGGAGGAGTTCGGGTCGCCGTTCTCCTGCCACTGCGAGCTCCTCTGGAACACCTGCGGGTGCTCGGCCTCGAAGCCGGGGATGCCCGGCTGCGGCCCGCGCTCTGGGTGGCTGGACCAGGCGAGGGAGAGGAGGAGGAGGAGGAGGAGGAGGAGGAGGAGGAGGAGGAGGAGGAGGAGGAGGAGGGGAAGGAGGAGGAGGAGCCGGAGGAGGAGGAGGAGGAGGAGGAGGGGAAGGAGGAGGAGGAGGAAGAGGAGTGGGAGGAGGATACGGAGGAGGCGGCGGAGGAGGAGGAGGAGGAGGTGGAGGGGAAGGAGGAAGAGGAGGACGAGGAGGAGGAGGACGAGGAGGAGGAGGATCATGCTGGATCATGCGATCTAGGCCTGATGGAAGACTCAAGGGACGGAGGAAGGCAAGGCCTGGAAGGAAGGAGGACACGAGGAGGAGGAGGACGAGGAGGAGGAGGATCATGCTGGATCATGCGATCTAGATCTAACGCCTGATGGAAGACTCAAGCACGGACGGCGCGCCTGCTGCAACATCTATTGCTACATGAAGGCAAGCGCCTGGAAGGAAGAACACATACACGAGACCCGACATGCGGCGCCTCTGCTGCGACAGCTGTGTGAGAACACGAGTGCTCAGTGCGAGTTGCAACTATATGTCCCAATCCTCGACCTTCGGCGGCCCGGCCAGACACGAAAGACAGATGCAGTGCGTGCGCAGCCTGCCACGGAAACAACGCCCACCCAATTCAGTACACGACAATTTTGCAATAACAGGTCAACTCATGACCCACGTACTGCACAGCAAGGAATTTGAAGCAACAGCTGGACGGCAACGCGTGGTGATCGAACCCACCCGCACGTCGAGAAAACCAACCAATCACAGAAACATCATTCTGGACGATATTGCAATGGGAGGTTGAGCAAAGCGTAGTCATGTATACAAACATGCACACCCACCAACATTTTGATTTGAAACGTATAGCGTGAAGGACAGCGGCATGTGCCTTATTTGCCTCGCGGGGCCTGGGCTAGGCTAGCCAATAACGCCACCTCTTCACGTGTATGCTGCCGTCGACCCCGCAGTCGAGCTCCGCGCCTGCACCGCCTTGGACCTCAAGGGTTCTCGCATCCTTCCGCCTGTGGTGGCATCGGCGTTGGCCTCGAGGACGAGGAGGAGGTGGAAGAGGAGGTGGAGGAGGAGAGAGAGGAGAGGAGGAGGAAGAGGAGGTTGAGGAGGATGCCGGAGGAGTAGGAGTAGGAGGAGCAGGAGGAGGAAGAGGAGGAGGAGGAGGAAGAGGAGCGGAGCAGCAGGCAGGCAGGCAAGCAGACAATCAGGCAGGCAGGCATGGCAGGCAGGCAGGCAGCAGAATACGACGACGACGACGACGACGACGACGACGACGACGACGACGACGACGACGACGACGACCTCGACGACCTCGACGACGACGAACGCGCAGACGGGAGGCGAGGCCCGCGGTACGAAGTAGGCGGGCGGATGGGCGGGACAGGACAGAGGGGAGGACTGCGGAGGAGGAGCAAGAGGAAGGCGATGCTGCGGGGAGGGGTGTAGGAGGGAGAGGAGACGAGGGGGAATGAGGAGGAGGAGGAGGAGGAGGAGGAGGAGGAGGAGGAGGAGGCACACATCGAAAGTGTCACAGGGGGCGACCCCACCAAACATGCAAATCAAGGGAAGGGGGAGCGACCCCTTGGGGCTCGGTTGGAGCGTTCGGTGTCCATGGGAAGAAGGAGAAGAGGAGGGCAAAGAGGTCGAAGAGGCGAGGGGACGCGAGGATGAGGAGCAGGAGGTGAAGGGGAGGAGTCGTGGGAGGAGTGGGGAGGAGGATCACGAGAAGGGAGATGGGAAGAGTCAGGTGGAGGTGTGGAGGGAGGGGATGATAATGTTGAGTGTGCTAATTCTTACAGCGATGCTGGTAGTGCAGGTGCTGGTAATGCTAACGGCGATGGTGATCGTGATGGCAATAGCAAGGGTAACGATAGGATGGTGTGTTAGTGATGGTGGCGGTGAGGGTGACGAGGATGATGGTGATGACGACGATAGCGATGACGACGATTATGAGGAGGATGAAGAGGATGAAGAAGGCGAGGATGAGCATGACAAAGGAAGGCGAGAATGAGGGGGATGAGGAGTCGAAAGAGGGAGAAGGGCGAGGAGGGTGGGGGAGGGGGAAAAAGGTGGGAAGGGGCAGGAATAGGAGGAGCAGCAACGGGAATGGACGAGGAGGAGGGGGAGGCGACTTGTTCGAGCCGTCGCCCCTTGGGATTGGATGTTCACCCCGCGTCGTGCTTCGACTGTCCGGGGGCTTGGGGCAGTACTTCCGCACGCACGGCGAAACAACTATACAACGCTACATCTTCGAGTTGCCGGGGGTACGTGAACATCGGGGGTGCTGGCTCGGCGTGCCTCCCAGGATGCGCTCCGGCCAGAACGCCTGCGGAGCGTGGCGCCGCGGCGACGGGGGGCTCTCCAGGACGAGCTGTGGCATGGGCCTCTCTTCCCCTTCCGGCCGCACCCGCTGCATGCTTCGGGGATGCTTGCGCCCGAGCCGTGGATCTGGCGCTCACGCCCCAGATCCACGGGCCCGCAGTCCGTGGCTACAGCCGGCACGCCCGATGAGAAATCGGCCTGCGAGCCGATGCACCATGGAAATGCCTCGTCCCCGCGGTGGCCTCAGGGACCCGCGGAAGCCCTGGGGAACCTTTCAGGACACTCGAAGATCGACGAAGCATGTGCCCCAACAAGAGTTCTGAAGTGAGATTTTGTACTGCATGGGCCTGCTGTGCATAGTCTCTCCGATCCATCGATCTGGCGCTCACGCACCAGATCCACGGATCCGTAATCCATGTCAGCGCGAGCCCAACAATCCCAGACATCCGCCGTCGTGACATTTTCACGGCGTTGCTCCCCAGAGGTCCAGACCCCGACCCCGGGACCGGGTGTTCATCCTGCATCCTTTTTTGATGGCCCCAGGGCCCAGTAAGGACCCCCAGAGACCAAGCCGCAAACGACGAAACAAATCCGCCTAATGTCGTCGTTTCCTCATTCATTGTTTTGCCGATCGGCGCGGGCCCTCGCACCCCTCCCTCCCCCCCTCATGGAGCAGATCTTGGCTGTTTGGGGCGTCTGCTTCGAGCAGGTGGAGCATCCCCCACATGGCGCACTGCGGCAAACACAGTCGCACTGAGCAGAGGTCCGGAGCCAGACCCCCCCCTCCTCCCCCCCCCCTTTCACGGACCGGAGGCGCTACCCGCGTACGCTGCCCTCTTCACGGATCCCCCCCACCAGCGGAACAGGAGGGCCCGATATTTGGGGATCGTTACTATCGATATAGACCGCAGGATTTCAGTGGGGTAATTGTCGAGTGGGTACCTGTACGCGTACACAGAATAGAGATTTTTGTGCTCAACCTGTTTTCAGGCAGGCGCAACGCCGAATCAGGAAACGTTCATGATAGCTTCCTCGCGGGGTGCCCGATCGGACTCCCCTGGCGCGCTTGCTGTCCTCTCCGCGGCCGCGCTCCTCTCTGGCGCTGGCTTGCCGCCTGCGCCGCCCGCCCTCGGCTGGGCCCCAAGATCTTAAGTCGGGCCTGTCCCTCTACAGGAGAACTGCTCAGGAATAGTCAAAGAATGGTCTGGGGATGATTTTTTGAGCATGTTTCGGCCATATGGGGGGCATGTATGGGGTATTTCATTATTTTTCGCCCAAGATCCTCCTGTAGGAGGACAGGCCCGACTTGACCCAAGATCAGAGCTTCCAGAGGGCCAGGGGGGCGGGGCGGGGCGCGCCTGTTGGCGCCAAGAGCAGCGGCGGCCCTCTGCTGCCTCCCCTGCCCCTTCCCTCCCGCCTGGGCCTCCCAGGATGGCGTCGGAGGATCGCACCGCGTCGCCGATGCACCGGCGATCCGGCTCAGTGTGGAGCCCGATTTTCTCCGCGCCGACGCCGCCGAGGCATCGGCGACGCGGCGCGATCCTCCGACCCCGTCTCCTCGGACCCCGTCTGGGAGGCCTCTGCACAGGCGATCCGCCTCCAGGAGGACGTGCCCGACCTAACTTTGGTCAAGACGCGGCAGAAAACAACAACAAAAAAAACTTGAGGCGCAGGGGGGGGGGGGGGGCGGTTCCCGGGCCGCACCTCAGAGATCGAGGTCGGGGGAGCTCTCTGCGGGGCCGAGGCTCGACGTGGCCAGGGGAGAAAGCTCCCCCCGATCTTCCAGCGCTGAGCTATCGCCGGCGCCGCGGCAGAAAAGCGTGCCCGGTGAGACCCCCGCCCATGGCGTGCCTCGGCCAGGCCGTGTCACTGTACGCCGACTCCCTGGGCCTCGCGGGCGGTCTGGAGTCCATCCGCCAGGGCGCGGGGACGTATCTGTGGTGGTACTGAGGGCGGCCACAGCGCGGCGCGCGGGCGCGCGCCCGCGCCTCACGCTTCTCCACGTCCTCGAGCCTCCTCCTCCTGCTCCTCCTGCTGCTGGTGCTCCTCCTCGCTCCTCCTCCTCATCATCACCATCCTCATCCTCGTCCTGCTCGTCCTGCCCCTTCTCCTCTCCCTGCTCCTCTCCATATCATCATCATCATTATCATCATTATCATCATCATCAGCAGCAGCATCATCAGCATCAGCATCAGCATCATCAGCATCAGCATCATCATCTTCAGCATCAGCACCAACATCATCATCATCCTCATCCTCATCAGCATCATCATCGTCGTCATCATCACCATCATCATCAGCATCATCATCGTCCTGCTCGTCCTGCTCCTTCTCCTCTCCCTGCTCCTCTTCCACATCATCATCATCATCATCATCATCATCATCAACATCATCATCATCATCATCGCCATCATCATCATCACCATCATCAGCATCATTACCATCATCGTCATCATCACAATCACCAGCATCGTCATCATCACCACCATCACCATCATCATCATCATCATCATCATCATCATCATCATCATCATCATCATCAGCATTATCATCATCATCAGAATCATCAGCACCACAATCATCATCATCAGCAGCAGAAGTGATCACCATCTTCGTCCTCGTCTTGCTCGTCCTGCCGCTTCTCCTCTCCCTGCTCCTCTCCACATCATCATCATCAGCAGCATCATCATCAACAGCAGCATCATCAGCATCAGCATCATCATCATCATCATCATCGTCAGCATCAGCATCAGCAGCATCATCCTCATCCTCATCAGCATAATCATCATCAGCATCATCACCGTCCTGCTCGTCCTGCTCCTTCTCCTCTCCCTTCACCTCATCATTATCATCACCATCATCACCATCACCATCACCACCAGCAGCATCATCACCAGCATCAGCATCATCGCCATCACCATCATCGTCTGCAGCATCACCACCAGCACCAACATCATCATCATCATCATCATCGTCGTCACCAGCACCACAGTCATCATCAGCAGCAGCAGTACCGTGATCGCCATCGTCATCTTCGTCATCGTCATCATCATCAGCAGCATCAGCATCATAATCATCAACAGCAGCGAAAGCAGCAGCAGCGTCCTCATCAGCATCAGCATCATAGAATCAGCATCATCATCATCATCATCATCATCATCCTCATCCTCATCCTCATCCTCATCATCCTCATCATCCTCATCCTGATCACCATCACCATCACCATCTTCATATTGCCCCTCTTTCTTCTCCTCTTCTTCCTCCCCCCATCCAGCCCCCCCGCATCGCGTTCTTCATCCCCCTCCTCCTGCTCCTATTCCTCGTCCTCGTCCTCTATACTGTTCCTGGAGGTTGTCCTGCCTCGATTAGCGTTCTGGCAGCCCCACCCCACGCGAGCTCGATGCAGCATATAGTGGTAGGCGGCGCGGCTGAGTTAGTAACACCTCTAGCGCATTGGTGCGGTGCACTGTGCAGTCTCAGTGTTCTTATCAGGCCACTCGGGCAGTGGCCAGGGCGGGCCAATCTTTGCAACGGCTCAGCAGAATATGTTCAGGGGGAAAAGAAACACACAGACACAATTAATCGTCGACTCCCAGGAAAATATGCAAAAATATGGGAAGTGGGGGGGGGAAGACAAAAACCCAGAAGATGTGGGGGAAATATGGGGAATATGTTTATCTGTGTGTGTTTATTTGTGTGTCCTAATTTCCACGACGAGCATGACGGCGACGATCACAGAGACGACGACGACGACGACGACGACGACGACGACGACGACGACGACGACGACGACGACGACGACGACAGCTCCGCCCTGCTGAATAGGGGGCGAACTCGGCGTCGCAGTAAGCTCTATAGAGGTGCCGTTGTCGCCGCGCTGTCGCTCCGCTTGCTTTGCTAGCCGCCATCGTCACAAACATCAGCACCATCATCACCATCCTCTTCCTCTGCCTGCGCCTCCTCGTCCTCCTCCTCCTCGCCCTCCTCCTCCTCCTCCTCCTCCTCCTCCTCCTCCTCCTCCTCCTCCTCCTCAGCGTCATCCTCATGGCCATAATCATCATCTGTCGCAGACCCCCTACAGGAAGCAGCACCCAGGGGGCAGTGGACAGGTCTCCTCCTAAAGCCATGACTGGATACTTAACTATGTGGCCCAAGCGTTCCAAATTGTTTTCGGATGTGCGATCCCCGAGGCATTACCACGCATTCCAGTGCACTGTTGTTCGAGTGGTCTTGAAGTTGAACCCGGCTGTGTGATCTTATCTTCTGTGCAGGACAATACAGGCAGGCAGGCAAGTGCAATCGATCACAACAGTGAGACAACCGATCACAAAGTTCAACAAGCGAACAATCAGGCGCGCCCATCTGCAAGAGCGGGCGCATTGCGGCTCAAGCAACCATCGAGCATGACAGAACGTTCAGCACACTGAGCTTGCGCCAGCAGCTGTGGCGGCTTGCCAGGCAGTAGAGTTTGCTCTCAGGACACGTGGACATCCGTCGGAAAGGTGCGAGAGTACAGATGAGGAAGGGGTGCAGTCGGCAGATAGCGAGGTCACATGTGTCTTCAACGAGGGTGGTTGCGATGTCGGAGGGGACACCGGTTCAGCCAATGTCTTGTTCCCGGCTTTCCGTTGGTGTTGGGCTATCGTTCTGAATCCGCAGCCAGTAAGAAGGGCGACGAGAAAAAATACACACGTACGAGCGATGACAAGCCCCTGGGCTCGCCGCCGACGAGAGGTGGGGATCAGGCATCGAGGCTGGCCCGGTGCGCGGCTCGCCCAGCCCGTCGCGCAGAGGGGCACCTGTGTCCTCCTCCTCCTCCTCCTCCTCCTCCTCCTCCAAGAAGATTGTTCTCCGCCGATCTCGATCGCCCTTCACATGTTCCGTGCCCCCATAAGGAGCCCCACCCACGGCCGCAGCGGGGGGCGGCGAAGGCAGCACCGCGCCAATTGGAGCGCACCCCATCGCACGTCCCGTGCCGCCACAGGGAGCTTCACCTACGGCCTCGGTGGTGCGGCGTTGCATTCGACACCTTGCCCGTCCATCTCGACACGCCTTCGACGCGTTCCGTCCCGAGATGGCGGCCCCAGATGATGGGCCCCAACGACGGCCCCAGATGATGGGTGGGGGACGCATGCGGCACCCCGCCCATTTCCACGCGAACCTTCGCGCTTCGTGCTCCCAGAGGGAGTTCTCTACGTGTTGCCTCCGCAGCGCCATACCCGCATTGCCCCGCGGCGCGCAATACCTGAAGAGAGGGCCCTGCTCTGCGCTACACGCAGCTGCAAGTATTCGGACCCATCGCCAGGCTGACTGCCTCGGAACCCTCGCTAAGCAAACTGATTCGCTAATCAACTGAGTACGTTGACGTCGTGGTAGCAGCTTTGTAACTGCGCCAGCAACCTGCGTCCAACACCGTTCTCGTTTTGAGAATCGGTTCGAACCGAATGGTTACAAACGAACCTCGACCACGATGTTGAACATTGGCTGTTCTCATGTGTGTGCCATGCCAAGCGGGTGAATGGATGAGCGTGTGCATTCATGTTTCGCGCATGTTGTGACGTCTTGCTAACACATTGTAGCAACCTACAACGCAGCATCTGTTTTGGGTGGCGTTGCACTAAGAACAAACACCACACAGCACTAGGTTGGGCATAAGTGCCCATACGCTTCAAAAAAGTGAAGCACCATACATCCAACTAGTGGGAATGCTCATGTAGTGGTTTTTCCAGTCCATTCCGCCGCTATGCCCAGGCCATGGAACAGAGATCTATGGGATCCTCCTTGGGATCTCTTTGGGGCCTCTAGGGGTCCTCTGCGGAGCCTCTTGGGCCTTCTTGGGGCCTTTGGGGAGCCTCTGGGAGCTTCTTGGGGCTTCAGGGGAGGTTTAGGGTCCATCTTCGAGGCGAGGCTTCGAGCGGTCTGGCGGGACGCGTTTTTTGGCCTCCCTCTGGAGACCGTCTCGAAAGCCTCTTGGGAGTTGGGAGCCCTGGGGGCCGTCTTCTGGCGACCTCAGGGGCCACTGTTGGTGACCGGTCGTGGGCGCCTCTCGTGGGCGCCACTTGCGCTGGAAGGGTTTGCCGAGGTGGCGCATGGTGCCCCGTTGGTGCCCAGTCGCGCGCGCCGCGTGCGCGCACTTTGCGTTGGGTGGATTTGCCGAGGTTTCGCTCGGTGCTTGGTTGGTGCCCGGTCGTGGGCGCCTCGTGGGCGCACCTTGCTTGGGGTGGGTTTGCCGAGGTTTCGCCCGGTGCCCAGTTGGTGCCCGATCGCGGATGCCTCGTGGGCGCACCTTGCGCTGGGCGGCCACATAGTTTATATCACATTAAGTACACCACGCATCTTGCACCACGTAGCTTGCACCACAGAGCTTGCACCACATAGCTTGCACATCCACGGTGCAGCAGCTTACTGCTTGGGGTGAGGCAGGCATCTACCGCTTTCAGCGCGGATGACTAGTGAGGGCGTTCCACGCAGCAGTTGCGGCATGGTTGCGTATACTCGGTCTGCGGGCTTACACATCGGTTGCCAGACAGGGGCGCTCGAAGCAACACTTCGTTTACCATGCGAACCTTCGCTCCGCGGCTGAGGGCGGGGAACGGAGCGGGGGAGGCAAGCTAGGTGCGCTCGCGTCACATCTGACGTCCTATCTCTCCCCCCCATCCCTTTACCATGGCGTGGATCTCCTGTCCATTCGCACAGTCGGATGTCGCAGCAGGGCATAGCATTACATGGCATAGCATGGTTTTGAAGATCAATGCGTAGCCTGACATAGCATGGAGTGGCGACGCCCCAAAATGTGGCTTCTGCGGCCAAACAAATCAACGAATCGACACCGAATGTGTAATCACTTCCGATGGTTGTTCCGGGGGGGGAGGGGGGGGGGGGGGGGGGATTTTCCCAAATTTTGGGGTCTCGTTGGAAGGGACCGAAAACCATGCCGTGGCATGGCGCTGGAAATAATGACGCCAGAGCTGAAGCGGGAGCACGATTCGGAACGAGCGGAAGCGCGGAAATGGGGCCAGCGCTGCAGCGGGAGCACGATCCAGAACGAGCAGTAGCCCGAAATGAGGACTTCGCTTCAGCGAGAGTAGCGTTTTGAAAAAAACAGGCGACAACCCGTTTCCTGGGAATCCCGTGTGTTAAAAAACCCGTGCGCGGAGGGGGGGCGAACATTTCCCTGACGCCACCAGGGGAGAGAGGAGAGTAGTATTCATATTGTGTATTTGCAGAAGGAGGAGCATGCACGGTGTGATTGATTAGTCCGACAGCATCGGCCGGACCTGTTGCCGTGCCTCCAGGGCGGCGCGCACAGCCTTCGCGCCGCCGCCGGCGCGCACAGCCGGCGCCAGCACCGGCATGGCCGACTGCGGGACAGCGCTGGCGCCCACCCCGGGCACGACCCATCGCCGAAAGTTGCCGCAGCGCAGGCACGCCACCCAGCCCGGGCCCTGCGCCCGCTGCGCTGCCGCCAGTGCCATCAGATGGAAGTCGCGTTCCAAGCAGAGCGCCGGCGGCGGGAGGCGGGCACGGGCCGCTGCTCCTGCCAGCCGATCGGCGGCCGCACTGCCCGCCCTGTCCTCCTCGGACATGTCTTTGGGGCGCGCGTCCTCGGCATCCGTGTGGCCCTTGATCCAGCGTGCCGTCAGGAATCCGCTCTGGTTTTGCTCCACGAAGCGTTCCCAAAGATCGGAGTGCGCCCAGTCAAGGATACACGAGCCGGCGCGCAGGGCGACCACGCCATTGCGGACAAAGTGGAAGTCCGCGATCACCACTATATTGGCGCCCACGCAAGGCTGGCGGCCTGGACGGCGGCGGTCAGCTCGGCGCGCTGCGCAGTCTGCGCCCCGTCCACCGGCCCGCTGTGGTCGCTCGTGCCGCGGCCCCCAGGGCAGCCTGGGCCATCAGTGGGTCTTCGGTCGCACGCGCGCAGCGTCGGTCCAAGCCCTCTGGCGCGGCTGCGGCGGCGCTGGCAGTTGGGAGGCGAGCAGCGGCGCTGGCGGCACGGCCCGGGCGGCCTCCTCTGCGAGGGTGGCGAGCCGGACGCCCGTCGGCAGCACGCCCGCGTTCGCCACGCCTGGCGGCAGCCGCGCACGCAGCGCAGCCTGCGAAATCCCCGCTGTGGCCAGGGCGGCGGCCCTGTCGGCGCGCCAAGCTGGGCAGACCCAGAGCCGAGGCTCGCGGTCCTCACAGGCGGCGCTGCAGTGCGGCTACCTGGCCAGCTTGCCCCACTTCGCCGCCTCCGCTCCAGGCGGCCGCGGCGATACAGGGCCCGCGCCGCGGCCGTGCCCGGCCGCTCGGGCCCCGTGCGTTGCCCGCCAGAGTGCCATGGGAAAGCGCTCTCTGCGGAGCGCTTTCGCCGCCTGCCACCGGAGCACGAGGGCGACGACACGACTGCCGCCGGGTCCTCCAATCGCCAAGGCGGGCTCAAGACCCCGAAGACCACTTCGGCGGCAGCCCGGAATCCGCCGCGGCAGACTGCCTGCCGCGCCGCCGCTCGCAGCCCAGCCAATTCCCTCGCCCGGGGGCGGCCGCACGACGCGCCGTGCAGCCCAGCCGCGGTGCCGGCAACAGCGCCCAGCATGCACCGATGGCGGAATTCCAACGGGAGC